TTTAAAGGGGTCATGAACTGCCTTTTTATTATTTTGTACTGTTCTCTGAGGGCCACTTATAATGTTATCAAGATTTTGACATCAAAAACATCATAATTTAGAAGTAATAGGCTATTTTTCGTCCTGTTTTGATCCCTCATCGGAACGCTCTGTTTGAATAGGCATGGCGGATTGTAGACGGAAGTAAACGCCCACTGCTATGAATGGCTAACAGTTGTGTATGTTTGACAGCCTATATCCTTCATAGATGGACGCTGCTGTGATTTAGGTTAAAAACGCATAAATACTCCATAAATTTCAAACGACCTGTAATAACAGACAAAGCAATAGTGACCACGTAATAAAAAACAGTTACTCACACTTGTGTGGTGCGACATACTGTCGGTTCCAATATATTCGGCACAGCATTGTCTTTAAATCTCTCTGAAAATCCTGCATCGTATTGTGCCTTGTTTGTAAATTAATCCACGGTGAAATGAAGTGAGCAAAGGACCAAGTTCTTACTGACGTGGTTAAATTAAAATTCATCCTATACAGAAGTGTATCCTTTCCTAATGTTGGGGTCAGAAGGAAGGCAATGCAAAGACTGTATTTTTCCACAACTTGGCACTCCGTAGGGCTGGGCGATATAGCTAAAAAAAATATATCAACGATATAATGTTTCATATCGTTTGGTATCGATAATTATTGAAATTTTTTATAACCTTTTTTTTTTAAAACAAAGAGCAATAGAAAAAATTGTTTAAATTTAACCACTGTATTTTTTAATTAACCCAATTTATTGAGACAAACAACAAATATTTTTTGTTTTAACAGTCAAACACAATAATTAAACGTATCTAATTTCTAATGTTTTATATGCAGATTAAATAGGTCTTAAGTAAACTTTTGTCTTGTCTCCCGAGGCCACAGGAGGGCGCAATGAGCAAAATAATGCAGCGCATTTAATAACTGTATAAAAAAAAACGTGCATACGTCTAAATTAACTCATATCAATCAAATATAATTTCGGAAATTGCATAAACAATTATGAACAAAACGGCATCATGTATTTATGCATTGCTTAATACAAAGAGCCGAATCGCCGATCACGCAGATTGCATTTAAAAACATAAGAGACGCAGTGAAAAGGAATAAACTTCCACAAATTCGCGACGTGTTTTCTAAAAGTTTAAACCGTTTTTACTTTGCATGGCTACATCTCTTGTGTGAGACGCGAGTGCAGCAGTCATATTTGTCTGTCTAAAAAATGCACTGAATATGCATCTGTGTGAATGGCTTGGTTTCGGTTTCCACCTAGTCAAGATCTTCTCCGCATTGAGCTTCTATATTTCTCTAATATTTTGAATGCATAACACAGCAGCGATGCATCTCGTGGGCTAGACTAACAAAACATTAAAATGCAACAACGTCACTTACATCATCATCACCGCATCTCGTGCGCCACTGATGACTCTCCCTGACGCACTCCTAACGTTCAAATGCAAATGTTTATTTTAAATTCGACTAATATTCATTTTTTTTATTCACAATCTCCTCATCACAGGCAGGCACAGCACTCAATTCAGCATGTGTTCGTGTTTGTGTGTGCAGTCTGCGTCACTCATAGCACGTGCCTGTATTGTGCGCTATATCGAACATTTTTATATCGTTATTGAAGAAGGTGTACCGTCGAATATCTATACCGTTTTATCGCCCAGGCCTAGCACTGCGTCTTGTTGACTTTGGAGCATCTTTATCGTTTGATTCTCTCGTTATTTACACTACATGCGTGAATCGGTGGGAGGGGCTAAACAGGCAGTGATGTAGAAGCAGGCGTTGATGATCTTCTGCGGAGGCGGGGTTTAGCCACACTATTATGTCACAAAGTGGCAAATTCCACAACCTGTCGTTTTGGCAGATTGGCTTCAATATAAGCTGTTTTTAGGATAAAAACTTTTAAAAAAAGTTATTTTTTTTCACTTTTAAAAAATAACAACAAAGTTTTGAGTTCTGAAACTTACAGGCTGTTTTTAAAGTACAATGACCTCTTATTTGTCAAAAGATCAAGGGAATTTTGATTTCTCACTTCATGATCCCTTTAAGAAATCACATTTCTACACATTTCTAAAACCAAAAATTTTATTTTTCTATTATTTTTAGTGCAGTAGCTGAGATTTTGCTGTCTCTCTACTTTGGAGATGAGACATCGTTTCAGGGTTATACACACAGTATTCATTACATTTACATTTTTAAGGTGATGTGTAACCTATTAAGTAACAATTGTTTAAAACTTTGGGGTCATTGGGGATTTTTTCTTAAAGAATTAATACTTTTATTCAGCAAGAATGCATTCAAGTGACCGTAAACCATTTATAATGTGAAATATTTTTATTTCAAATCAATGTTGTTCTTTTTAACTTTTTATTCATCAAAGAATATCGAATAAATTTTCCACAAAAATATTAAGCAGCACATCTGTTTTTCAGCATTAATAATATTAAGAAATGTTTCTTGAGCAGCAAATATTACAATGATTTCTGAAGGATCATGAGACACTGAAGACTGGAGTAATGATGTTGAAAATTCAGCTTTGATCACAGAAATAAATTTCATTTTATTCAAATTGAATATATGTATATATATATATATATATATATATATATATACAGTGTATATATATTTAATTGTTATAATATTTTAAAATATTTATTTTTACTTGGATTCCTTGATTTATTTGACATGCATATGTATTTTCTTAAACTTTATTTGTTTAAATGTCTTTTATCCATATCCTTGTCATTAAGTCAGTTCCTTTGGATTAAAGGGTCTGCTAAATAGTGGTAATTCTTATATTTCTCTAGGAAGTATGCCATGTCAGTAAAGATCCCAGACACCAAGGGCTGTAGAAGATGCAGTGTGGGTGAGGACCAGTGACCTCTGTAGGCGTGTGAATCATTCTCTAGGCATTTCGTGCACATTTTAATGTTTATTTCTCTGCTTCCAGTTCGAAACCCCTACACTGACAGCATTTTCCTTTGTGCCGTTGTTCCCACTGGTTTGGTCCTTCTAATGTGGTATGAACCTCTGCAGAAGTTCATGCAGCTCAAGGTGAGAAATGAGAGATAAGAGTAATGGAAATGGAAAAAATATCTGCACTGTTGCGTAACTTCCCCGCCCCCCTCTCTCTCTCTCTCTCTCTCTTTCTCTCAGCACATTGCTCTGAATCTGCCAGAGTCTCTGCCCATCTTTGAGCTGCTCGTAAAGGAAACAGAGGAGCTGCCACAGGTCTGTGTGGGGGTGAGAAGCCGTCCCCGCCAAAAAGACAACACTGGACAGATGCACTTTGACATCGTCCACCTGGATGACACACCACAAAGTCTGCCAGGTGTTGCACTGTGTGGATAAATCAACAATCACACACAAAACACTGACAAATCACTGTACCACATGCGTTTTACAACGGAAACAATTTATATGAAGAATCTTTCAAATGAACTATATGATTTTCATTAGACTGGTCAGTAGTGCTTTGTTTGACTGATTTATGTGACTTCACAGATGGTGAGTCTTTGGAGGCCAAACAAGTGATTCAGCTCGACAGGGACACAGTTCTCATCGCACTGAAAAGTAAATGGCTTGTTTTCACTGAATCATTTGAAGCACTTTGTATGTATGCTCAAACTGGTTTAGAAAGTCAAATTTGATATTATCCATGTCCCTCGTGTCTCTTAAATAATGTCATTCCTGTTTCATCCATGACTTACTCTTTGAGTCAATGACAAATAAGAGTGTCTAAAACACAGAAAAGGAAATATCTTCCTTAGAAGTTCTTAGAAATGTGTTCTTTGTATTCAAGTTGGTTTCATGTGGTTCTGAGAAACTTTTACATAATTTTCAAGAAAAAATGTCATGTGGTGCAATCAAAAAAAGTGAATACCATATTTTTCTTATACTATGAATACACAAGTATACACATCGTAATTATTATTGTGAAAAAATTTAATATATTGTGAAAAAAGTTTTTAAATATATTTTTCAACACTTTTTTTTTTGACAAATGTTTGAATCATTAATAAAATATTCATAAAATATCTGGCTTTGGGGGGTTTTACCAGATGACACACACTCATTAGAGCCTTCTGGAGTCCTCTGTGCTGTAATGTCCCTTTTCAAGGGTCCCTTTCTTTCCTTACATTTCTGCATGTTGGTTGCACCACATGACATTGTTGGTCGCACCGTATGACACATGTTGACTTTATGCAGTGTCATGCCCCATAAACTTTCATTATAAGTGCATTACTGTCAATAAGTGATGGGAGAACTTAACCTTTTCATAGCTTTGAATCAAATGAACCAATTGCTTCGCAAAATGATTCACTGTTTCGAAGCATCACACGCTGGTGACGCCTGCTGGTCAAAACTGTGGAAATGCAACAACAACAAAAAAGTTTTTTTACAAACCCAATGCAAATGCTTTCTTAAAAGTATAATATATTAAATGCAATCAAAATAATGAAATACCATTAAATATGAAGTGTCTGTATAAAATGTGTTTAAAATAATAATTATTATTTGCAGGGCTTGTTTTGTTTGTTTTATGGAGAGCTTAAACAGACCAGTAAGAGACTACAACTCATCCTTTTAATTACACAAATGGCTCCTGTTTGTGCAGATCCAATATCTCTCATCAGAATAGGTGTTATAGGTGAAAGTTAAACAGACACTGTTAAATAGAATATTGGTTGTGATGACAGAAAGGGGAGGATTAGTGATACAAATGATCACAGTGAGGATACTAGCATGTTCTTTTTTGCCCTCCTGTCCATAAATATGCTATTTGCATCAACACAGTATCATTGGGCATTATTTGCGAATGACGCGTCCTCAGTATTTGATGTTGACTGGCAGGAACATCCATCAATGCAAACTACTGTACTTGACTTCATTAGACAAATTTTGATGTTTTGAATTGAAAATATGTCATTTATGACTATTTGTGAATATATCATGACTGTGTAATTTGAGAATGCATGGGAGTAGCCTAAAACTCTTTTTGATTCTTGCCACAATATTTAGATCACCATTAGATTGTGGCCATCTTTCTATTTGGAATCTGTTGAATCTGGTGGTAATGTGGTTGTCTTTTGTAGTGTGTCTACAGGACAGTGTTCTTGTCTTCTGGAAACATGGTCTGAAAGGAAGGAGTTTACAAACTAATGAGGTAAACCTGTCGTCTACAACAATGATGGCTTCACTGATGTATGAGGAAAGAAGAAATGACGGAATATTATGCTGTTCCCCTCAGGTTACCCAGGAGATCACTGACAGAAGTCGAGTTTTTCAGGTTTTGGGAACAACTAGGTATGTTGTTTTCCCACTGTAGTATCGCAACACGTTTGGTAATAAATTGAATCATATATGAATTTTTAAATGTTTCTACAGGGATATTATCTTGCAAAGTACTCCTACGGATGATCCGTCTGCCATGAGCAACCTGTACATCCTCACGGGGCATGAAAGCAGCTACTGATGGGACTGAGGCACTGCGAATGTTGAGCAAGAGCTGGAAACACTACAAAGGTTGATAGTCCTCCCTTCCCTCCTGAGAGGGTAGAGTCATCAGGCCCAAAAAGCTCCAGGAACAGAGGAAAACATGATGAAGTCACGTACACAGGTCTCCAGAGCCTCTGAGGACAGGAGGCAGAATTGGAGCTGATGTGGAGGCACAAGGATCAACCATGAGAGAAAGTGACCTGTGGACCTATGTTTTGAAATAGGGTAACCATACGTGCCATTTTCCCAGGACGCGTCCTTGCCAGGATTAGTTTTTTCCTGTTTTCATGCTTGCTGAAGGTAATGATCGAAAAGTAGTTTGATCAATAACATGCAGGCATTGTACATAATGGACCAATCATGGTGTGTATGTGAGAAGGTGGGATCTAAGGTCAAAGTGAAGCAATTACGCATACATAGGATGTGTGTTCGACTTAAAAGCAGCTCAGATCGATCAGTGTTTGACATCAAAGTACCTCGAGAGCATTTTGAAAGCATAAGGAACCGTCTGTATGGTATTTTGATGTCATACACCGATCGGTCCGCACATGCAAACAAAGCCAAAACCTAGATATTTTAGTTTTTCCTGTTTTCATGCTTGCTGAAGGTAATGATCGAAAAGTAGTTTGATCAATAACATGCAGGCATTGTACATAATGGACCAATCATGGTGTGTGTGTGAGAAGGTGGGATCTAAGGTCAAAGTGAAGCAATTACGCGTACATAGGATGTGTGTTCGACTTAAAAGCAGCTCAGATCGATCAGTGTTTGACATCAAAGTACCTCGAGAGCATTTTGAAAGCATAAGGAACCGTCTGTATGGTATTTTGATGTCATACACCGATCGGTCCGCACATGCAAACAAAGCCAAAACCTAGATATTTTAGGCAATACAGAAATCCTGGCCAGGACGCGCGTGTCCTGGGAAAATGGCACGTATGCTCACCCTAGTTTGAAACAACTTGTGAAACAGGCTGCTATGGGTCACTGACTAAACTAATGAGATGTTCTATTTAATACTAGACAGTCTGTTGTATTCCTTGTTTCAGGAAATATCGTATTATATCAACATGTTTTGGTGCAGTGGTATCTTCCATTGACCAGCAAATTAGTTGATAGAATGTTGTCAACCATCGTACTGTAAAACCCACAGAAACCAAAACTGTGAAATAAATTAAATAAATGTAAACGACAAGGATAATTTGATGAATAGTATATTTCCTGTTATAGTCTTGTGACTTGCACTGCACTGCCCAGTTTGTGTTTTAAATCACAGCACTAGCGGCCGCTGTTTCTTTCTTGAGCTCTTTATTTTTGAACAGTCTTGTCTTTTTTGGAGCGTCATTTTAAAAACAGGAAGCGCTTTACACAAGACGCGTTTAGGAAAGTAGCTGTAGTATTTACAGCAGTGTTAGCCTTATACCTGTCTGATAAAGTACTTAGCATCTGGTGGGAATTTGCAACGTACCGTGTTGTTGAATGTTCTGCCAATGAAGAGTTGAATATTATATTCTCGGTATGAGTTTAGAGGTGGCTTGCTTGTCGTTTCGCCAGCCGTACGCTACTCTTGTGTTGAATGGGGTGAAGACTATAGAGAGCCGCTGGCGGCCCCTGCTGTCAGAGCGGCGGAACTGCACGCTAGCGGTTCACATCGCTCAGAAGAGCTGGGAGGGAGAGGACTGGAGACTCGTCCTCACTGAAAGGCTGGGAATGACATCCGTGCAAACGGAGCAACTGCTGGAGTCTGGAGAAAGGTTCGGGCGTGGTGTTATAGCAGGTGAAATATACATTGACTTGGTTTGTATAATATAATATGCATCATTTTTTAAAGGTAAAATTAAGTTTTATTAATCAAAAAGCATGTCTAATTAATTGAAATCATGAAACAAACAATTTCACATCAAAGTTTAACAAAAATGACATGTTTAGGGCCCTATGAAATGTTCTAAATGTAGCTAAATTCTGATTTGGCATGTCTTAATTATTTGAAAGCATAAAAACCAGTTTCATTTATTCTTGCAATAGCTTTGTGATGTTTTGCTCAGAAATTCTGTGTTGTGTGTTTGCATTTTTAAGGCATAAAATATTCATTGAAGTAATGACAATTTAAACACATTTTATTTTTTGGAAAATAAAGGTAATTTAATATTACATTAAAACATTGAAGAAATATTCTATGATTATTCCTTAAAAATAAGGTTTTAATCATTTTAGTAGTAGTAGCAGCCTGTTACGTACATTCTACTCAACAATAGTAATATATTTCTGCCGCAATGCCTTTAAGTCAGGGGTGCCTGAACTCGGTCCTGGAGGGCCGGTGTCCTGCAGAGTTTAGCTCCAGCTTGCCTCAACACACCTGCTACAAAGTTTCTAGTATGCCTAGTAAGAGCTTGATTGGCTGGTTCAGGTGTGTTTAATTGGGGTTGGAGCTAAACTCTGCAGGACCGAGCTTGGGCACCCCTGCTTTAAGTTAAACCAAGCTTTTATTTTGACGGGTTGCCGTGAATACCTTTACGTTTCTGTGTGTGTAATATGACATGATGATAGTTTTACTCAAATGAAATGGTCAAATGCTCATGAAGTGACTCTCAGAGCAGTTTTAAAATAATGGCAGGGGAAACACTGTGTATATATATATATATATATATATATATATATATATATGTCCCTTTCTTTCCTTACATTTCTGCATGTTGGTTGCACCACATGACATTGTTGGTCGCACCGTATGACACATGTTGACTTTATGCAGTGTCATGCCCCATAAACTTTCATTATAAGTGCATTACTGTCAATAAGTGATGGGAGAACTTAACCTTTTCATAGCTTTGAATCAAATGAACCAATTGCTTCGCAAAATGATTCACTGTTTCGAAGCATCACACGCTGGTGACGCCTGCTGGTCAAAACTGTGGAAATGCAACAACAAAAAAAAACGTTTTTTACAAACCCAATGCAAATGCTTTCTTAAAAGTATAATATATTAAATGCAATCAAAATAATGAAATACCATTAAATATGAAGTGTCTGTATAAAATGTGTTTAAAATAATTATTATTATTTGCAGGGCTTGTTTTGTTTGTTTTATGGAGAGCTTAAACAGACCAGTAAGAGACTACAACTCATCCTTTTAATTACACAAATGGCTCGTTAAAAATGTCTACAAATTGATCAAACTGATCCGAAATCAGAGATGATCAATGGTTCGCCGCTGGGAGGCGAGCTCAATGAACTCGCATGATTCATGGATTCACAGAGATCGCCCCCCCAAAGGCACACTATTGAAATTTCGAAACAGTTATGACGTAACGAAACCTCGTTTACTGAAATCACATGACTTTGGCATTTTGATACGTGCTCCGAACCACTGTTTCGAAACAAATGGTTCGCAAAGGTTTCGAAGCTTCATGAAGCAGTGTTTCAAATGCGGCCATCATTACTGTCAATACAGTTTCTGTGTTTTTACAAGCCAAGGAACCAAATCTATTAACACACCATTTTGTTTCAGACACAGTGAGGGTTGTGAATCTTCAGGGATGTCTGAGCCATCAGAAGACCTCTGAACTTGCTTTTGAGTTTCCCATTCAGACGCTGGGTAAGGACATGATGCATCAGCCAATGCCAGGCCTTCTTTGAGCATCTTTCAGCCTAGTTTTTGCAGTACATCCGTCAGCAGCTTTTTGGCCGACTGAGTGTGTTGAGCCAGTCAGTGAGAGAAATCACTCTGATTGGCTGTTCAGCTTAGCGAACCAAGTTCACGAAAAGAAAAAGAAAAGTTAAGTCAAGAGGGCACATACAGAAGGCTCTTCTAATTGTATATCTATGCCAACACACGTTTTCATTTTACTGACTACTGCCACCTACTGGTATGGAGAGTATTTGCTCTCACACAGGTACAGAACTATACGATGTAGACTTTGTGGTAACATTTTGGCCAAAAGATGATGACACACGGTCAGATAAAATGCAGATGAATAGAATCCAGCACCTCTTGCACTCTTAAAAATAAAGGTGCTTCACGATGCCATAGAAGAACCTTTTTTTCTAAATGGTTCCATAAAGAACCTTTAACATCTGAAGAACCTTTCTGTTTCACAAAAGGTTCTTTGTGGCGAAAGAAGGTTCTTCAGATTATAAAAAGGTAAGAAAGAGATGGTTCTTTAAAGAACTTTTGACTGAATGGTTCTTTGTGGAACCAAAAATGGTTCTTCTGTGGCATCGCTTGAAGAACCTTTTGAAGCACCTTTATTTTTAAGAGTGTGGTTCTTGACTGTTTGTGCAGATCCAATATCTCTCATCAGAATAGGTGTTATAGGTGAAAGTTAAACAGACACTGTTAAATAGAATATTGGTTGTGATGACAGAAAGGGGAGGATTAGTGATACAAATGATCACAGTGAGGATACTAGCATGTTCTTTTTTGCCCTCCTGTCCATAAATATGCTATTTGCATCAACACAGTATCATTGGGCATTATTTGCGAATGACGCGTCCTCAGTATTTGATGTTGACTGGCAGGAACATCCATCAATGCAAACTACTGTACTTGACTTCATTAGACAAATTTTGATGTTTTGAATTGAAAATATGTCATTTATGACTATTTGTGAATATATCATGACTGTGTAATTTGAGAATGCATGGGAGTAGCCTAAAACTCTTTTTGATTCTTGCCACAATATTTAGATCACCATTAGATTGTGGCCATCTTTCTATTTGGAATCTGTTGAATCTGGTGGTAATGTGGTTGTCTTTTGTAGTGTGTCTACAGGACAGTGTTCTTGTCTTCTGGAAACATGGTCTGAAAGGAAGGAGTTTACAAACTAATGAGGTAAACCTGTCGTCTACAACAATGATGGCTTCACTGATGTATGAGGAAAGAAGAAATGACGGAATATTATGCTGTTCCCCTCAGGTTACCCAGGAGATCACTGACAGAAGTCGAGTTTTTCAGGTTTTGGGAACAACTAGGTATGTTGTTTTCCCACTGTAGTATCGCAACACGTTTGGTAATAAATTGAATCATATATGAATTTTTAAATGTTTCTACAGGGATATTATCTTGCAAAGTACTCCTACGGATGATCCGTCTGCCATGAGCAACCTGTACATCCTCACGGGGCATGAAAGCAGCTACTGATGGGACTGAGGCACTGCGAATGTTGAGCAAGAGCTGGAAACACTACAAAGGTTGATAGTCCTCCCTTCCCTCCTGAGAGGGTAGAGTCATCAGGCCCAAAAAGCTCCAGGAACAGAGGAAAACATGATGAAGTCACGTACACAGGTCT